ACAAACTTTAATCCACTAAAAATAAAGAGACTCGCTGCAGCAGCAGCAGCAGCAGCAGCAGCAGCAGCAACAGCAGCAGCAGCAGGAATGCACCAATGGTCCTTGTGGCTGCCTGTGTTGGCTGTTTGTTTTGCTTTGTGTTTGTTTGAGTTTGCTGCTGCACTTTATTGATATACTTGTTTATGTTTCTTTCTTTTTATATTTATTAATTTAATTATATGCAATGTGGAGGCAAACACCGCGACCATTTGCTGCTGCTGCTGCTGCTGCTGCTGCAGCTTCAAGAGCAGCAGCATCGAGCCTCCCTCCAGCAGCAGCAGCAGCAACACCACCAACAGCTGCAGCAGCACCAGCAGCAGCAGCAGCAGCAGCAGCAGCAACAGCAACAGCAACTCGCCTATGCCCTTCTTTGCTGCGTCTAGCACCCTCCTTCCGCTTCGCAGCTAATACTCATCTCTTTTACTTGCAGCCACTGCAATCTAAACAATGTGAGGGTTTGCTGCAGCAGCAGCAGCAGCAGCAGCAGCTGCAGCAGCAGCAACAACAGCTGGAACACCTGCAGCAGCAGGTGCAGCAGCAGCTGCAGCAACACGAATCGAGCGGTGCTGCAGTACAAGGGCAGCTTCGTTCACAGCAGCAGCAGCAGCTGCTCTTGGTGTTGCTGCAGCAGCAGCTGCAGCAGCTGCAGCAGACGCGCTGCAGCAGACATGAAAGCTTACTGCAACAGAGACTGCTGCATTTGTCTCCTTGCACGCTTAAAGCAGCAACAGATAGCAACAAAACAGCAGCAGCAGCAGCAGCAGCAGCAAATGATTCACCTGCAGCAAGCGACGACAAAACAGCAGTAGCAGCAAACAAAGAAGCAGCAGCAGCAGCAGCAGACTTCCCTCAAACGTTTTTCCCCTTCGGTAGAGGCATCTGGGCTGCAGCACGCGCAGACAACAGCAGCAACAAGCAGCAACAGCAACAGCAACAGCAGCAGCAGCAGCAGCAGCAGCAGAAGACGGAGGAGGAGGAGCAGCAGCAGCAGCAGCCGCAGCAACAAGAGCAGCAGCCGGAGCAACCGCAGCAGCTACAGCAGCAGCAGCATGAGACCGAGCAAGAGCATGAGGAGGAGCAGCTGCAGCAACAGCAGCAGCAACAGCAGCAGCAGCAGCAGCAAGCAGCAGCAGAAGAGCTGCAGCAAGTAGATAGATTGCCTTACGATCGTATATGGAGGCCCTGGGTCCCCCGTTAGTTTTTCTTCGTTTGTTTATTTTATTATTTTTTTGTTTGTTTTATTTATTTATTTTATTATTATCTGTTTATTTATTTTGTTCATTTGAGGGAGAGATGCTTGGCGAGAAAAGTAAATAAATAAATAAATAAATAAATAAAATAAATAAATAAATAAATAAAATAAATAAATAAAAATAAAATGCATACAAACAGCAAACAACACAAAACAGAGGCAGCAATACACCCTCTCTATTCAGTAGCAGCAACTGCAGCAGCAGCAACTGCGGCAGCAGCTGTAACTGCAGCAGCAGCAACTGCAGCAGCAACCACTGCAGCAGCAACAACTGCAGCAGCAGTCGAGGTTTTGAAGGAAGGAGAAAAATGTTTCAAGGCCCAAGACACCCACAGGGTATACAGCAGCAGCAGCAGCAGCAGCAGCAGCAGCAGCAGCAACTGCAGCAGCAGCAGCAGAAGCCGCGGGTGTATTCCCCATAGTAGTTCTAGTACTTTTAGTAGCAGCACCTGCAGTAGCTGCACCAACTGCAGCAGCAGCAACAGCAGAAGACGAGGGAGCAGACCCCATAGTAGTTTTAATAGCAATAGCAGCAGCTGCAGCAGCAGCAGCAGCAGCGGAGACCGCGGGAGCAGTCCCCATAGTAGTTTTAGTAGCAACAGCAGCAGCTGCAGCAGCAACAGATTCCATATTAGCAGCAGCAGCAACTGCAGCAGCAACAACAGCAGCAGCAGCAACAGCTGCAGCAGCAGCAACAGCAGCAGCAGCAGCAGCAAGATGATTTAGTGCCGTTTTTTCGTTGTTTATTCCGAGGCTGTTTGAGGCCTTGTGATGTCTTAAGTGTTTAAAAAAGATAGCAGCAGCAGCAGCAGCTGCAGCTGCAGCAGCAGCAGCAGCAGCTGCAGCAGCAGCAGCAGCAGCAGCAGCTTAGCAAGCATGCGTTTGTTTGTTTAATTGTTTTACTTTCGATGTTTTTTGTGTTTGTTTGTCTTCGCTGTTCTCAGTGCAGCTCAAATTAACTGAAGTAAACAGCAAAACCATTTTAAGGGTTTAGGGTTTAGGGTTTATATATATATATATATATATATATATAACAAACTTGAAGGGTTAAGGGTTTAGTGTAAATATATTTGTTATATTTGTTTGTGGGGTTTAGGGCCTAGAGGGTTTAGAAATATCGTTTTAGGGTTTAGGGTTTAGGGTTTAGAAGTATATTTTTAGGGTTTAGCAGGAAGGAGACCACTCCGCAGGCAGCTGCAGCTGCAGCAGCAGCAGCAGCAGCAACAGTAGTAGTAATAGTAGCAGTTATAGCAGCAGGAGCAGCAGCAGCAGGTGCAGCGGCAGCAACTGCAGCAGCAACAGCAGCAGCACTGGGAGCTGCAAATGCTGCCGTTGCTGGGCTGTGGTCTAGGTTTTAGGGTTTATAAGGTTTTAGGGTTTAGGGTTTAGGGTTTATAAGGTTTTAGGGTTTAGGGTTTAGGGTTTAGCAGCGCAGAATTCTAGTGAGTGATGTCTTTGCGAAGGCTGTTATTTATTTATTTATATTTATTTTATTTATTTGTTTGTTTGTTCTACAATTAGATGCATTATATTAAAGAAACAATTTGCTTCGGTGCAGCCTTTAGGCCGTAGTAGCATAGTTAGAGGAAGTGCTGCTGCTGCTGCTGCTGCTGCTAGTGCTGCTGCTGCTAGTGCTGCTGCTGTTGCTGCAGCAGCAGCTTGCATTGTTGTTGCTGCTGCTTGTGCTGTTAGTGCTTCTGCAGTCTATGCTGTTGCTGCAGGTTGTGCTGCTGTCGCTGTTGCTGTTGCTGCTGCTGTTGCTGCTGCTTCTGCTGCTGCTGCTGCTAGTGCAGTGTGTGCTGCCAGTTGCTGCAGCTGCTTCTGTTCGCTGCAGCAGCAGCTGTCGTTGCTGCTCATGTTGCTGCTGCTGTTTCTCTTCCTTCTGCTGGTGAAACTGTTCCTTCTATGGCTGCTGTTGCTGCTGCATCTGCTGCTGCAGCTTCTTATAGTGCCGCTGCTGCTGCTGCTGCTGCTGCTGCTTCTGCCCTGCAGCAAACAGCAGCAAATACGTAATACACCTGCGCGTACAGCTGCAGCAGGAGGGTTTAGGGTTTAGGGTTTACGTTTTTAGGGTTTATAATATTTTAATCTAAATTAATAATTGATTGTAAGCCCTATACACTTCAAACCCTAAACCCTTTTAACTGCTGCGGTGTATATGCAGATATAAACCCCCAGCAGCTAAATACTAATATTTGTTGTGCACGTAGTCTTGAGGCTTTTACTGCTATTTTTTGCATAGTAAAAGAAGAAAATAATAATTAATTAATTAAAATAAACCCTCATTAGTAATGTACACTTGGCGGTAGGGCTACAGCAGCAGCAGCGACGCAGCAGCAATTGCAGCAGCAGCAGCAGCAGCAGCAGCAGCAGCAGCCGCAGCAGCAAATACCGAGTTAGAGATGAAATCTATCAATTGCTGCTAGCAGCAAGAAGACAGACGCTTGCTGCTGCCTTCTTTGTTGCGTGTACACCACAAGAGAAACAAGTATTAGCTGCAGCAGCACCACCTGCTGCTGCTCCTGCTGCTGCTGCTAATCGATGCAGCAGCAGCAGCAGCTGCTGCTGCTGCTGCTGCTGCGCCCCCCTCCCCTTTTAGACAATAAAATCTGCCGGCTGTTAATAAGCCATTTGGAAGTCCCTGTGTTGCAGGTTAGGAGATGCAGCAAACCAGCAGCAGCAGCAGCAGCAGCAGCAGCAGAAGCAACGAGTGATGCACTGTGCTGCTGCTGCTGCTGCTGTTCAAAGCCACAACAACAGCAGCAGCAGCAGCAGCGAGAGCAGCTGGAGTTGGGCTTCGTGGTGCCTTCCTAGACTGTGCAATTGACGTTACAGGCTGCATTTGCTGCTGCTGCGTGCAGCAGCAGCAGCAACAACAACAACTGCAGCAGCAGCAACTGCTGCATTTAGGCGACCAGATCTTATTCTTTTTGTGGGTAGAAGCTGCAGCAGATGTATGCAAAAGAGCAACTGCTGCAGTGTATAGGCACCGACTTGCTGCTGCTGCAGCAGGACAAGCGACAGCCCCCCGTATAGAGTAATATGCAGCAGCAGCAGCAGCAGCAACAGCAGCAGCAACAGCAGCAGCAGCGTCAACTGCTTCTGCTGCAGCAGCTTGCGCAGCAGCAGGGTACCTCGCTGCCGCAGCAAGAACAAGTAGGGCAGCAGCATCCCCGCTGCATGCACCCGCCGCTGCTGCAGCAACAGCAGCAGCAGCTGCTGCAGCAGCGTATGCTCCAGCAGCAGATTCTGCAGCAGCACGTCATGAGGCAGCAGCATCAACAGCAGCAGCAGCAGCAGCAGCAGCCAGGAGCCCACCTGCACCGTATGCATGCTCCACCCGTTGCGCAGCATCCCCACCACCAGCAGCAGCAACAGCAGCAGCAGCAGCAGCTGCTGCTGCAGCAGCAGCAGCAGCTGCAGCAGCCTTGCGGCTTTCCACCAGCTGCGCTGCAGCACCGCCCTCATGAGCCGGCAGCAGCAGCAGCCCCCTACCAGCAGCATTATCATCAGCGGCAGCAGCAGCAGAGACAGCAGCAGCAAGCAGGATGGCTGCAGCGTCACTGCTACAGTCCGCAGCAGCGGCAACAGCAGCTGCAGCAGCAGCAGCTGCAGCAGCAACGCAGAAGCCCTAGAGATATACAGGCTGTTGGCTTCCCTCCTCCTTCTAGCTGCAGTGACACCCCAAGGGGCGCAGCAGCAGCAGCAGCCGCTGCTGCTGCTGCTGTTAATGCGGCAGCAGCTGCCGCTGCTAGAAACGCTGCAGCAGCAACTGCTGCTGCAGCGAAGCAGCAAGGTAGAGGACGTGCAGCAGCTGCTCCACTAAACGAAACAGAAAGAGCAGCAGCAGCAAGAGCAGCAGCAGCAGCTGCTGCTGCTGCTCTTGCTGCTGCTAATGTGCACGCAAGGCAGGTTGCTGCATCTAGAGAAGCTCCTGCTGCGCCTTCAGCAGCAGCAGCAGCAGCAGCGGCAACAGCAGGAGCAGCAGCGACGGAAGCAAAGCCAGCAGCAACCCAAGCAGCAGCAACTGCAGCAGCAGCAGAAACAAAACCATTGCCCCATGCTCCAGCAGCAACAAAAGCAGCAAAAGCAGCAGCGGCTGCTGCGACTCCAGCAGCGCCAGCAGCAGCAGCAGCGGCAACAGATGCAGCAGGATCGGCAGCAGCAGCGTCACCTGCTGCTGCAGCACCTGCAACACCAGCAGCAGCAGCAAACGCGGCACCATCGGCTGCTGCTGCGGATGCAAGAGCAGCAACTCCACAACCAGCAGCAGGAGCAGCAGCAGCAGCAGCAGCAGCAGCACCTGCCGCTGCAGCGGCACCAGCATCAGCAGCGACAGCTCCAGCAGCAGCAGCTGCAGCAGGAGCATTACCAGCAGCACAAACGTCTGCTGCAGCCCTTCGTTGCGATACGCCTTCAGCAGCAGCAGCTGCAGCAGCTCCGACGCCTGCTGCTGCTTCTGCTGCTGTTGCCGGAGGCCCAGCTGCTGCTGCGGCAGAGTCATTACCCTCCCCTGCTGTAAGCGATGCAGCAGCAGCAACAGCAGCAGAAGTGGGTGACGGTGCCGCTGCTGCTGCAGGGACGACGAACGCCGCAAAGAAAGAGATTGCTGCAGCAGCAACAGTAGCAACAGCAGCAACAGCGCCAACAGCAGCTGCAGCAACTCAAGCAGCAACAGCAGCAGCAGAACATTTGAGGGAAAAGAAAGAAGAAGCAACGCTGCCCCCTGATGAACAACAGCAGCAGCAGCAGAAGCAGCAGCAGCAGCAGAAACAGGAGCAGCGTCGGCAGCAGCAGCAGCAAAACGGAGCTGATGCCGCAGCAAATAAGCAGCAGCCGCAGCAAAAGGAGGATGTACAAACAAGCGTAGCAGGCTCGGACCAGCAGCAAATGCAGCAGCAGCAGCAGCAGCAGCAGCAGCAGTTGCCGGTGAAATCGCCAGCGGAGCAAGTGGGAGTAGGGGAGCAGCAGCAGCAACAGCAGCAGCAGCAGCAGCAGCAGCAGTCTGAGGGTCCTCGCCTTCGTTTGCGAGGTCGTATGCTGCCGCCGGTGTCTCAGCGTGTAACACGTGCTGGGGCCTCCCGCAGCAGCAGCAGCAGCAGCAGCGCGAGCAGCAGCAGCAGCAGCAGCAGCAGCAGCAGCAACAGTAGCAGTAGTGTAGGTGCTGCTGCAGGGTGCGACAGCCAGACGAGTATGGGCCCTATAGTTGATTGGTTTTGTGTGCAGCAGCAGCAGCAGCAGCAAGAAAGTTTGCTGCCGCAGACAGCAGCAGGCTGGGATTCTTTGCTCGGCACTTCGCCTACTTGCGAGCTGCCTGTAGAGGTGAAAGCGGAGACACCAGAGCATTTGCTGCTGTCGCTGCAGCTGCAGCAGCAGCAGCAGCTGCTGCTGCAGCAGGGGGGCGTCGAGGAACAGCTGCAGCAACAGCAGCAGCAGCTGGAAGTGCTGCTGCTGCAGGAGCCCATAGACCCGTGTGGTGCTCCTGTTGTGGCGCTGCTGCTGGATCCCGAAGCAGCAGCAGCAACAGCAGCAGCAGCAGCAGCAGCAGGAGAAGATCTGCTGCAGCCAGAAGATGTACGCCTTATGAGAGTAACGCTGCAGGAAGCAGATGAAACCGAGGACTTGCAGCAGCCGCGGAAGCTGCAACACGCAAAGCGCCAGCAGCAGCAGCAGCAGCAGCAACGAGCGCAGCAGCAGCAAGACGCTGCACTCTCCCCCAAAGCCCCACACTCTGGACAGAAAGCAGCAGCAGCAGCAGCAGCAGCAGCAGCTTCAGACGTTAAGAAGTCGGAGGAGAACGGCAACGGAGAGGAGGCTGCTGCTTCCACCGAGAAAACAGCAGCAGCAGCAACAGCAGCAGCAACAACAGCAGCAACAGCAGCAACAGCAGCAGCAGCAGCAGGGAAGGCAGTCACAGAAGATGCAGCAGCAGGGGCAGCGTCACCAGCAGCTATCGCCGCCACGCCTGCTGCAGTTGCTGCTGCTGCTTCTGCTGCTGCTGCTGCTGCTGATAAGCAAGTGGGCGACCTCCTAAAGGCAGTGCAGGGCCTTGACTCCACGGGGCTGCAGCAGCTGCTTGCGATGGCGCAGCAGCTGCAGCAGCAGCAGCAGCCTCAGCAGCAGCAGCAGAAACTGCAGCAAGAGGAGCGGGGAGCGAAAGGTGTGCTGCCCTCTGACGAGAGCAGCAGCAGCGGCAGCTGCAGCAAAGACAGCAGCAGCAGCAGCAGCAGCAGCAGCAAGCAGTCAGCTGATGGGATCTCCTCAAGGGACACGGCAGGGGAGGGCTGTACGAAGGAAGAGACACCAGCGGAGTGCAGCAGCAGCAGCAGCAGCAGCAGCAACAGCAGCAGCAGCAACAGCAGCAGCAACAGCAGCAACAGCAGCAGCAGCAGCAGGGGTATTGTTTACTTTGCTCCCCTGAGCGGTATGCCGCTGACTGAACGTTTGCTGTGTGGGGGTGCATCATCCCCTGCTGCTGCAGCAGCAGCAGCAGCAGATTGCGATGCGTTAGCTGATAATGAGGAGCAGGAGCATTGGCTGCATCTGCAACAGCAGCAGCAGCAACAGCAGCAGCAGCAGCAGCAGCAGCAGCGGAAGCGGAGGCAGCAAAATGAACGACGCCTACTGCATGAATTGCTGCGAGGTGTTGGTGGTAGGTTCTCAGATTTAGATGTTCCGCTGCCTTCTTATTTGCTGTCTCGAGCAGATAAAGATGCACATGCTGCAGCAGCAGATATGTGGAGGCAGCTGCTAGGGGACAGCAGCAGCAGCTGCTGGGGAGGCCTCTATCAGCAGCAGCAGCAACGCAGAAAGAGAAGGATCCTAGCTGCGCCTCCAGCAGCAGATACACCTGTTGCTATTCGTACACAGCAGCAACAGCAGCAGCAGCAGATGCTGCTGCAGCAGCAGCAGATGCTTTATGAGTCGGGAAGCTCAGGTGCCGCTACCCCTTCAGCAGCAGCAGCAGCAGTAGCAGCAGCAACTGGCAGCAGCAGGATGCGACAGCGAGGCGCAGCAGCAGCAGCAGCAGCAGCAGCAGCAGCAGACGACATCCTCTCTCAAGGCAGCAAGCGTTCTGGAGTTGCAGGAGGAGCGCCTGGCGGTCCCCGCAGCAGCAACAGCAGCAGCAGCAGCAACAGCAACATCAGCAGCAGCAGCAGCAGCACCGGGTGCTGCAGCAGCGGCTGCAGCAGCAGCTTTCGTGTGATAGACTCAAGCTTGAAGGGCGTTGCTGGGGGCACTTATGAAGCAAGCAGCAGCTTTTTAGGGTGTAAGTATATAAGTAAATATAATAAGGAACTATGCTGCCGTGTTGCTGCAGCAGGAAGCAATGTGCTGCAGCTGCCGCAGCAGCAGCAGCAGGAAACAGCATATCAGCTGCAACTGCAGCAGCTGCAGCAGCACAGCGAGGGGGGTTGGCTGCTGCCTCTACATTCTCATAAAGACAATCTTTATTCACGATGCATGCATAAAGAAACTCCTCTCCCGCTGTCTTCGCAGCTTCTTGCTGCTTTCGGGCTGCAGCGGCTACCACCAGCAAAAGCAAATAAAAAATTCAAAGAACCAAGGAGCGGCCCTGCAGCGTGGGGTGTACAGGCAGGTCTCATTCGTGCTGCTGCTGCTGCTGTTGCTGCTGCTGCTGCTGCTGTTGCTGCTGCTGCTGTTGCTGCTGCTGCTTATGCTGTTGTTGTTGCTGCTGCTGTTGCCCGTGTTGCTGTTGCTCGTGGTGCTGCTGCTCGTGGTAGGGGTGGTGGTGCTCCTGCTGTTGTTGCTGTTGCTGCTGTTCCTGTTCTTGCTGCTGATGCTGTTGCTGCTGCTGCTGTTGCTGCTGCTGCTGTTGCTGCTGCTGTCCCACCTGGTGTTGATGCTGTATATATTTATATATTTATATATTCATACATTTTTCTCAGATTTTTTTAGTTTTAATTGGTTGGTTGATGTATATATTTTAATAAATATAATGATTTGTAATATTAATTAATATTTATTAATATTAATACTAATATTTATTTATTTATTTTATTTATTTATTTATTTATTTAATTTATTTTATTTATTTTATTAGGCTTGGTTCTCTCTATGCCGACGCGCTGAATTGGGTTTCTTTTTTACAGCTGAAGAAATTGCGTTTCCGGCATCTTTGCTTTTAAGAATAGCAAATGCAGAGTTTAGATTCTTATTGAGATGGGGGTGCAGCAGCAGCAGCAGCAGCAGCAGCAGCGGAGGCGGCGGTGGCAGCAGCAGCGCTTCACTTCATCTAGGTCTTGCTGCAGCAGAAGCAGCAGCTGCAGCAGCAGGTGAAAGGCCTCAACCCCCTCTTGCTCCTGTTGATTATCTTGCTGCTTTTAAAAAGACTATCAGACAATTCAAGACATTATATCCTCCGGTTGTGAAGACTCAGCAGCAAGAAATCAACTACAAACGAGGTACACAAGCAGCAGCAGCAGCAGCAGCAGCAGCAGCAGCAGCAGCAGCTGCAGCAGCAGCAGCAACAGCAGCAGCAGCAGCATGTGTTATTGTTGGGGCCTTCTATAGAAAGCCCTCAATTGCATATTCTTTTTTTCGTCTCTTTCTTCGTTCTTGTGTTTGCCTCTGTCTTTGTTTATTTGCTTTTTTATTATTATTTATTATTTATTTGTTTGTATTTATCGCATCTCTTTATCTGTCTCATTGTTGTTCTTCTGTCTCTTCGTCTTAGCTCCTATAGCCGTTTATCTCCTCCGCTGTGGTATTTGCTGCTGCTGCTGCTGCTGTTGCTGCTGTTGCTGCTTCCTTCACATTGTTTCTTGCTGCTGCTGCTTTGTTTCTATTGGGCTACTGCTGCTGCTGCTGCTGTTTGTGCTGCTGCTGCAGCATTTCTATTGTTTCTCGAGTTGCATGTGGTGTTTGTGTATCCTCTGCTGCTGCTTCTGCATGCATTTTGCTGCTGCTGCTGCTGCTGATGTTTGTGCTGCTGCAGCTGCCATGGCTTACGTTCGTACTCCGCTATATTATTTGCATTCACCCTTCGTTTTTCACGCAAAGATAGTAGCAGCAGCAGCAGCAGCAGCAGCAAAACCCGCCGGCAGCTTGGGTCTGTCAGATCGAATCCTAAACGAAGATGTGGGGCCCAAGGGAGAAGCAGCAGCAGCAGCAGATCCTGCTGCTGCTGCTGATGCTGCTGCTGGTGAAGGCCCTGAGGTAAAGGCAGGGGTGCTGGCAACTGCAGCAGCAGCTACTGCAACAACCCCACCTGCTGCAGCAGCACAGGTCAAGCAGCAGCAGCAGGAAGGTGGAAGTCGAGACGAAGAGGGCCTTAGGAACAGCAGCAGCAGCAGCAGCAGCAGCAGCAGCAACAGTGGAGGAGAGACAACCCGGCTGAGGCTGAAGTGCTTCGGTGCTGCAGCACTTGCAAATATGTCTCCCGCCTCAGTCGCAGCAGGACAGCAGCAGCAGCAGCAGCAGCAGCACATGCTGACGCCGAAGCAGGAGTTCTCGACAGTAAGTGATGAGGAGCTTGAGCTAGAGCAGCAGCAGCAGCAGCAGCAGAAGCGTCGTCGGCTCTTTCGTCGTCGTTTGATGGATGGGGGGGAAGACGTGGCGTTTGCAGCAGCAGCAGCAGAAGCAGCAGCAGCAGCAGCAGCAACAGGACCAGGTAATGAGAGCTGCTCCCCCTTGCTACCAAGAGAAGCGTTCTTGCATCTCAGTGTTTCTGCTGCTGCTGCTTTTCCTCGCTTTGTTTGCGGCGGTATTGATAGAGAAGCGCTGCTGCGCAAGAAGAGATTTAGAATAACTGTCTGTAGAGGGGTCTCAGCAGCAGCAGCTTTTTATGCTGCACCCCGCAGCAGCAGCAGCAGCAACAGCAGCAGCAGCGGGAGTAGTAGTAGTAATAGTCATGCGACGCTAGCACCCCCAGTGCCAGCTGCAACAAGTCCTACAAGAGCTGCTGCTGCTGCTGCTGCTGCTGCTGCTGCTGCTGCTGCACAGCAGCAGCAGCAAGCGCTTACCGACGGCATGCCCACAAGCCTCTCCCAGCAGCAGCAGCAGCAGCAGCAGCAGCAGTTTCACTCTCCCGCCACCCCCACGACCAGCGCTAGCAGCACGAGCAACCCCATAAACAGCAGCAACAGCAGCAGCAGCAGCAGCAGCAGCAGCTCAGGGAGTCGCGTGGGGAGCAGCAGCAGGATGTCTAGACAAATCGAAGCTGAGGAGTTTGCTGAGGGAGAGATGCTGCTGTGTGCAAACAGCCAGCAAAGAATTGACATAGACTTGCAGCGGTTTCGGCTGAGGCCCCTCGTTGAAGCTGTACACAGAGCGCAAGCCCTCCCTCAAGTGCTGCTGCCAGGTTTGCTGCTGCTGCTGCTGCTGCTGCTGCTGCTGCTGCTGCTGGTTATGGTGGTTATGCTGATGATGCTGCTGCTTATGCTGATGATGCTGGTTATGCTGATGATGCTGATGCTGCTGCTGGTTATGCTGATGATGCTGATGCTGCTGCTTGTGGTGATGCTGCTGCTGATGCTGACGATGGCTGCTGGTGTTATGATGATGCTGCTGATCGTGCTGCTGCTGCTTCTGCTGCTGGTGCATTCATTCTGTTGCTGCTGTTGCTGCTGCTGCTGTTGTTTCAGGGCTGAAGGTTCAGGTTGCGTTTGCTGACGATTCGGGTTGCGTAGCGTGGTGGGATGGCGAAGTTGTTGCTGCTCCCCCGCAGCAGCAGCAGCAGCAGCAGCAGCATCAGCAACTTATTGTTGCTTACTGGATAGACGAAACTACTCAACAGGTACGCACCCTTCTGCTGCTGCTGTTGCTGCTGCTGCTGCTCTTGCTGCTGCTGCGGCATTGGTTGTGCCTCCCAGTTGAGTTGGATTTTCATGCTGCTGCTGCAGTGTATGCGTACTATGTTTCCTGCTGCTGCTGTTGCTGCTGCTGCTGCTGCTGCTGCTGCTGCTGCTGCACGATTAATCTCTTTTCCTTTTTCCCGCTTCCCTAACTAAACTCCTCACCCTCTCCTCTATTCCTGTTGCTGCTGCTTCTGCTTATGCTTCTGTTGCTGCTGCTGCTGCTGTTGCTGCTGGTGTTGCTGCTGCAGCGAGCAACAGTAGAAGTGCGCGACTTCGTGCCGCCTAATGTACCGATCACGACGCCCCGCAGCGGCTGCTGGCGGCTGCGCCCCACACCACTCTTCCCTCGCAGGATTAAAGGAGAAGTTGATTTCAGCAGCAGCAGCAGCAGCAGCAGCAGCAGCAGCGGGGGTGCGGGAGGCGCTAGTGGGAGGAGAAGCAGCGTGTCGTTAGGTATGCAGGGGGCTTCGGATAATCAGCAGCAGCAGTTGTTGCAGCAGCAGCTACAACAGCTGCAGCAGCAGCAGCAACAGCAAGGGGCTCGACACACAGATGTTTGGCCGGGTGCTGTTGTTGCTGTTGCTGCTGAAGGTAGCAGCAGCATGAAGCTGCAAGATGCTGTTGTATTAGATGTCTTAACTTCTCCTCCATGCAGCTTCTACTCTCATCAAGACGCAACCCGATATAAACTTCCTCACCGCAGCAGCAGCAGCAGCAGCAGCAGCAGCAATAGTAGTAGTAGTAGTAGCGGTGGGTGCGTGGGCGGCGACAGCAGCAGCACCAGCAACAACAACAGCAACAACACCAACAACAACAACAGCAGCAGCAGCAGCAGCAGTAGTCGGCAGCAGCAGCAGCAGCTAGCGCTGCGCCCTTTGCAAGGAAGAAGACAAGGTAGAGGCATTTGCGTCGTCGGAGTCCGTTTGTTTTTATTTAATGAAAGCAGTGTTGAAACAGCAAGCGCTCGCTGCTGCAGATATCGCTTAAACTATGATGTGCACCCTCAAGATGCTCTGCATGTGCTGCTGCAGCAGCTGTGGGTTTGGGCTGTGCCTCGAGTGCTGCCGCTTCCAGAGAAATTCGCTGCTGCACTTGCCCAGCAGCAGCAGCAGCAGCAGCAGCAGCAGCAGCAGCAGCAACAGCAGCAGCAGCAGCAGCAGGGCGAGGAAACAATTCAAACTCCACACACACCACTGCAAAGCCCACAACGTCCTCAGCGGCAGCAGCAGCAGCAGCAGCAACAGCAGCAGCAGCAGCAGCAGCAGCCTGTTTTGAAGCGCTCCGCTCGCAGTCGAGCTGCTGTTGGTGGTGGTGGTGCTGGTGCTGCTGCTGCTGCTGCTGGCTCTGGTGCTGCGGGTTGCAGCCCTGGAGTGAGTGCTGTAGTAAGCGCGAAGGCAGCAGCAGCAGCAGCAGCAGCAGCAGCAGATATCGACTGGGTATTTGAATTAGCTGCAAGACTGAGACTGTCTCCTTCTAGCATTGCCTTTGCTCGGAATGTTGTGCTGTATATACCCCTGGATCTGCAGCTGCTACCGACTGTCTTTTCGTCTTCAGCTTTATGTAAAAGAAAGAGAGGTAGGCCTCCCCGTGCTGCTGCATCAGCAGGTGCTGCAGTTGCTGCTGCTGCTGCTGCTGCGGCCCAGCAGCAACAGCAACAGCAACAGCAGCAGCAGCAGCACGCAGCAGCAGCAGCAGCTGCGGCTGACAGCTCAACTCCTCACCATTCCCCTTCAACAACAACAACAGCAACAGCAGCAGCAACAACAGCAGCAGGAGCAGCAGCAGGAGCAGGAGAACGACAGCAGCAGCAAGCCCCGCTGTTTGCTCTTGGCGTTGCAGAGCTGCTGCAGCCAGATCTTGATCTGCATGCACTGCTTGAAGGGCGATGGAGTGTACGTACACTTGAGTGGGCATTCGCTGTGAGGAGACATCTGCGGCAGAGACATCTAGGGGTTTTCAGAAAGCCAAAAGAGACAGCGCAGCAGCAGCAGCAGCAGCAGCAGCAGCAGCACATGCAGCAGCAGCAGCAGCAACATTTGCTGCAGCAGCAGCAGCAACACAACTTGCAACAGCAACACAACACGCCGCAGCAACCACCAACGCATGCAGAAACACAAATCCAAACCCAGCAGCAGCAGCAGCAGCAGCAGCAGCAGCAGCAGCAGCAGCAAGAGCAAGATTGCAGTCTGGCAGCCCCAACCGGACGCCGCTTTAGGACAGTCAGATCGCAGCAGGCTGCAGCAGGAAACAGGACCCCAACAGCAGCAGCAGGAGCAGCAGCATTTTCCTCACCTGCTGCTGCTGCTGCACCCAGCGCTGTGTCGCCCCACAACAACAGCAGCAGCAGCAGCAGCAGCACTGTGGGAGGCCCCTCTGCTGCAGAGCGCAGCAGCAGGAGAGAGCGCTATTGCAGGATGGTAGCAGCAGCAGCAGCAACTTCAGGTGCAGGGAATCCAGTAGCAGGTGAAGCAGCAGCAGCAGCAGCAGCAGAGGGAGAGTTTTTGCTGCCGTTTGTCGATGGAGGTGTTTCGTTTGATTGGCGAAGCGAAGGTAGAGACTCAGATGCTGCTACACCCTCAACTCCTGTTGCTGCTGCTGCTGCTGCTGCTGCTGCAGCACAGCTGCCGCAGCTGCCGCCTCCTTCTCCCCTCGCGGGCTTCCTCCCTGCTGCTGCTGTTGCTGCTGCTCCTGCAGCAGATTCTGCAGCAGCACCGCACGAAGCAGCAGCAGCAGAGGGTATGGGGGCAACAAAGCAGCAGCAGCAGAGGAGACAGCAGCAGCAGCAGCAGCAGTACCAACCGCAGAAACGGAAGCATCAGGCAGCAGTTGGAGTTTCTTCTGCTGCTGCCGAAGGCATTGAAGCAAAAGCAGCAGCAACTGCTGCTGCTGCTGCAGCTGCAGATGCATCTGCGGCTGCTGCTGCTGCTCCCCCGACAAAGGTGCAGCGGGCGCCGCTACAGCAACACGCAGCAGCCAGCAGCAGCAGTGCTAACGATTGCTAGCCTGTCTGTCTTGCTGCTGCTGCTGCTGCTGGTGCTGCTAGCTGCAACCCGTTCCAGGGTCTAGCCAGAAGAAGCAGCGCAGCAGCGGCAGCAGCAGCAAAACTTTTTGTCGTTTGCTGCTACAGCGTTAGCTGGGGATCTCCAGGCACTGCAGCTAAATCTTTTTGTGCGTATAGCCAGGCCTCATAATTAAAGGTAGCAGCAGCAGCAGCAGCAGCAGCTGCTGCTGCTGCTGCTGCGGCAGCATTTAATTATCGTAGGAAGAGTATTGCCCACGAAGGGCTTAGGGTTTAGGTTTATAAAGGATAGGGCTTCGCTGCTGTATTGCAGCAGCAGCAGCTGCTGCTGCTGCTGCAGCGGTTGCCGTAGCAGCAGCCGCTGCAGGAGTTAAAGTAGCAGCAGCAGTTGCAGAGGCAGCTGCTGCTGCAGCAATTACAGTAGCAGCAGCAGCAATGAGAATGGCAGCAACAGCAATGAGGGCAGCAGCTGCAGCAGCAGCTGCTGCTGCAGTAATAGGATGTGCAGCAAATAGAGTAGCAGCAGCAGCGCTTGCAGGAGATGTACACCCTCTCTATTGCTGCTGTCTTCTCCCTTCGTTTATTATTAATGAACAGCAGCTGCAGCAAATTAAAGTATTAATAGTAGTGATACTGCTGGACTTAGCAGCAAACCAAACAGTAGCAGCAGCAGTAACAGCAGCAGCAGCAGCAGCAGCAGCAAGGAGGCAACGCACATGAGTTGCATGCACTATACAAATATATTTAATTTGTTTTGTTGTTATAAATTTAAATAATATTAATAAACGAAGGATTTCATTATTCGGTTGTCTGAAACCCACATATCGCTGCTGCTGCTGCTGCTGTTGCTGCTGCTGCTGCTGCAGTTGCTGCTGATTACTATTAGATAATCAAAGCTGTCTTCTATATAAAATTGTTTGTTTAATTTGTTCAGTAAAAAATAAATTAATATTTTTAAATACTATCGGTTGCTGCAGCAGCACAAAAAACAATCAGACTGCTGCTGCACGTCTGGTTGCAGCAGCAGCAGCAGCTACTGCTGCTGCTGCTGCTGCTGCGTTGGCGGGGCATGCAATTGCTGTTGTGTATAGCCTCCAAGCGCAGCGTAGTGTATATATGTTTGTTTATATTCATCTTTGTTTTTTATTTATTATATCTTTACTTTCTTTTATTAGGGCGGCTTTTGCTGTCTCTGCGGTGTATATACACCGCAGCTGCCTTGTGCTGGCTGTCTTTGCTGCACTTCCTTCGCTGCTGCTGCTGCTGTTGCTGCTGCTGCAGCTGCTGCTGTTTTGCTGCTCCTCTCAACATTCATCTTAACTCCACAATGGCTGCTGCTGCTGCAACCCCGGCAGGGGTTTGCTGCTGCAGATTGAGGCCCTGCTGCTGCTGCTGCTGCTGCTCTTTATACAGAGCAGCAGCGCACTAGCAGACGACCATACACCATGACTGCAACATCACCACCAGCAGCAGCAGCAACAGCAGCAATAGCAGCAATAGCAGCAACAGCAACAGCAGCAGCTGCTGCAACAACAGCAGTCCAGATAGCTGCAGCAGCGACAGTAGTGATAGCAGCAACAACAGCAACAGCAGCAGCAGCAGCAGCAGCAGCAGCAGCAGCAAAGTGCCGGGACTTTAACCCTCTCTGCTGCTCCTTGCTGCAGCCCTAATCTCTTCCTGTGCGCAGCAGCACCAGCTGCTGCAGCAGCAGCATCAGCTGCAGCAGTGCCAACTGTAGCAGCACCAGCTGCAGCAACATTAGCTGCAGCTGAACCAGCAACTGCTGCTGCTGCTGCATGCGCAAACCAAGCGAATAAAGCAACAGCAACAGCCTTTGATGCGGCCGAGCTACTGCAGCAGAACATCTGCAGCAGCAAAGTAGTTGCCGCAATAGAGCAGCTGCAGCAGCAGAAGAGCTGCTGCAGCTGCAGAAGAGTTGCTGCAGCAGCAGAACGGCTGCTGCAGCAGCAGCATGGCGTCGCGAGTGAGCAGGACAATGCAGCTGCTGCCGCAGCAGCAGCAACAGCAGCAGGAGCAGGAGCAACAGCAGCAGCAGCAGCAGCAGCAACAGCAGATATTCCTATGGGAAGGGAGTTTGCTGCTGCCCCAGAGGAAGCGCAGCAGCAGCACCGCCTGGCTGCAGCTGCTGACAGCAACGCCGCAGCAGCAGCTGCTGCCGCCGATCTCCCTTTGCTGCAGCAGCACACCGCCCGTGCTGCTGCCTGCAGCAGGGGCGATACAGCAGCTGCTGCTGTTGCAGCAGCAGCAGCAGCGGAGGGGCTTTCAGCAGCAGCAGATGGTAAGAAGACGCGACTCTGCTGCAGCAGCACAAATGATACAGCATCCGATGCATCTTGCTGCTGGAGTTGCTGCTGCTCCCCCTGCCGCAGCAGGAAGAGCAGCAGCAGCAGCAAGAGCTGCAACAGCAGGAGCAGCAGCAGCCAGCAACCAACTAAAGCAGCAGAGTCCGGCAGCGGACGGTTCAAAGAAATCTTTAGCTGCAAAACAAACGCTGCAGCAGCAGCAGCAGAAGCGGCAGCAGGAGCCGCAGCTGCAGCTGCAGCAGCAGAAGCGGCAACAGGAGCCGCAGCAGCAGCAGCAGGCGAGTGAGCTGCAGCAGCAAGAGCAGCAGCAGAAGCAGCAGGGACACCGCGTGGACCTGCCTGATACGCTCCTGCAGCATCAGCAGGAGCAGCAGCAAGAGCATCAGCAACAGCAGGAGGAGCAGCAGGAAGAGCAGCAGCAGCAAGAACAGCAGCAGCAGGAACTGCAGCAGCAGGAACAGCAGCAAGAGCATCAGCAGCAGCAACAGCATGAGGAACAGCAGGAAGAGCAGCAGCAGCAGCAGCAGCAACGGGAAGAGCAGCAGCAGCAACAACAACAGCAGCATCACCCGGATCAGCAGCAGCAGCAGCAGCAGCAGCAGCAGCAGCAGCAGGAGCGTTTTATCTTGCATTTAGAGCCGGGTGCAGGGAGTGTGCTGCAGCAGCAGCTGACGAGATGGAGAGAGGAAGCTGCTGCTGCTTTCGGTGCTGATGAGTCTCTGTGCTATTCGCTGCACTGCTCTGTTACAGGTTTCTTTTGCTGCGCAGACACCTCAGCAGTAGACTCTCTTCTTGCTGCACTCAGCTCTCAGCTGCACGACATTCAGCAGCAAATGCAAATGCAGCAGCAGCAGCAGCACCACCACGCAGAACGAGAGCAGCAACTGCTACACGAGGAAAAACAACATCAAAAACAGCAAGAGCAGCAGCAGCAGGGAGAGCAGCAGCAGCAGCAGCAACAACAAGGGCAGCAGCAGCAAGAGCAGCAGCAGCAGCAGCAACTAGGGTTGGGTAGGGGGTTTCCTCGAGTAATATCGACTGAAGACGGTCATGTGCTGCTGCCGCTGCAGTGCCCAGCGCTGCACCCTTTGCTGCAGCAGCAGCAGCAGCTGCTGCAGCAGCAGCAGCGCTGCTGCTTGCGGCTGAAGCAAATGAACCATATTACTTTAGCAACATGCCGCACTGATCCCAGACAAAGACAAACAATCGAGCATTTCTACAATCAACGGGTAAATACTTCTGCTGCTGCTGCTGCTGCTGCTGCTAGCTCTTGCTGCTGCTGCTGTTTCTCGCTCTGCTGCTGGTGCTGCTCCTAGTTCTGCTGCTGCTGATATTTCTGCTGCTGCTTATATTTCTGCTGCTCCTGCATTAGCTACTGCTGCTGCTTGATTAGCTGTTGCTGCTTCTGCTGCTTGATTAGCTGCTGCTGCTGCTGCTGCTGCTGCTGCTGCTGCTGCTGTGTGTTGCGCTGCAGCTGCTGCTGCTGAAGTATTTGTGGTGTCCCTGGGATTTGGTGTTATATCGCGTTATTTCTCTCAGCAGCAATTATAAACAAAGCGGACCGCATGCATTTGCTGAAGTTAAAAGATTAAGAGGAGCAGCAACAGGGCTTGTTTCTTACGCTTAGCAGCAGTTGCTGCTGCTGTTGCTGCTGCTGCTGTTGCTGGTGTTGCTCATGTTGGTGTTGGGCTTGCTACTTAGATTAGCAGCTGCAGCAGCAGCAGCTGCTGCTGCTGCTGTTGTTGCTGCTGCTGCGAGGCATATGCAGCAACAAGCCCTGTCACTCATGCTTAGCAGCAACAGCAGCTATTGCTGCTGCTGCTGCTGCTGCGGCGAAGCATATGCAGCAACAGCCCTTGTCGCTTGTGCTTGAGAGCAACAGCAGCAGCAGCAGCTGCTGCTGCTGTCTTATTTTGTTGTTGCAGCAGCAGCAGCAACAGCAGCAGGAAAAACAACAGCGGGAAAAATAGTAGCAGCAGCAGCAGCCGCCACAATACCAGCACCAGCAGCAGCAGCAGCAGCAGCAAGAGCAGCAGCAGCAGCAACAGCATATTATGAAGAGAAGTTTGTGTGTTTGTGTTTATTTTGTAGTATCTCGAAGCATTTTGTTTAAATATATTTATTTATATTTATTTTTATTTTCATGCAGCTGCTGCAGCAAATAAAAGCAAATTACTGTGCATGTCTATAAACTTAAATATAAATATATAAATATATATTAATATATATAAATATATATATAAATATATATAAATATAT